TGAAAAACCGACACGACTGAAACAAATCAGAGAAAATTCAAAAGAAAACATCGCAAATTTTAGAGCTGCAAATGATCCAATTTACGAAACGCTCGACAGGAAACCACGCCCAGCAAGGCGGTCAAACGAGGGATATTTGGGCTTAATTCTTTTTGCGTGTTTGGTTTCCACCGCTGCCCTTTTACTGACTTTGCTGTTGGTATGGGGTAAACTCGGCAAAAGATGTGATTGCTGCGGAACTGAAGGTTAGTAAAGAAAAAAAATGTCAGTCAAAAGATAATTTCTTGTTACATCAATGAGGAGTTTTGAGTCTCGTGTCGTGTTCATATTTAAACTGTAAAATCATCCCAGATTTTATCCTAAATTCTCTTGGGCCACAAAAAAGGCCAAAGGATACTACTGTTTGGCAAAAGTTGTTTGACCGAAAATATTTCGCCTAAAATCAACACCTTCACGGCACAAAAACCCTTGTTCATCGTTAGTTTTCCGAAATGGTGAAAGACTGAAAAATTCGACATCATACTAATGTTTTTTGATATCTGAAAACGGATGGCAAATTTACCGTTCACCCTCGGTAAAACTCAAGAAAAACACGAAGTTCATCACATGTTACCCTGCACCAGGAAAATGCCAATGAATAGCCTGTTTTCTTGAAAGTTTTTCTGTAGTTTTCCTGTGTGCGCGAACGCTTCATTTTCCACGTGTTTTCCCACAGAATTACTGACGGTTAATGTCATGAAAACATGATATTTGTCGATAGTTTTCCTGCTCCACGAATACGCTAGTGTATAGCTTGTTTTCCTGGACGTTTTTCCATAGTTTTCCCAAGCGCAAACGCTGCATTTTCCAATTATTTTCCACACAGAATTACTAACGGTGAATGCCATGAAAACATGATGTTTTTCTATTGTTTTCCTGCTCCACGAAAACGCTAGTGTACAGCTTGTTTTCCTGAACGTTTTTCCATAGTTTTCCCGAGCGCGCGAACGCTGCATTTTCCAAGAGTTTTCCCACAGAGTTATCAACGGTGAATGCAATGAAAACATGATGTTTGTTGATTGTTTTCCTGCTCCACGAAAACGCTAGTGTACAGCTAGTTTTCCTGAACGTTTTTCTATAGTTCTCCCAAGCGCGCGAACGTTGCGTTTTCCAAGCATTTTCCCCACAGAATTACTAACGGTGAATGCCATGAAAACGTGTTGCTTGTCCATTGTTTTCCTGCTCTATGGAAACAGTAGTAAATAGCTTGCATTGTTTTTTTTGTAGTTTTCGTGAGCGTATGAGCGCTGAATTCTCCAAGTGTTTTCACACACAATTATTAATGGTGAACGTAAAGAAAACATGATGTTCGTCCATTATATTCTTGCTCCATGGAAACGCTAATGAACAGTTTGTTTTCTGGAACGCCATGAAAACAACATGTTCATCGATCGTGATCATTATTTTCTGCTCTTGATCCTGCCTCATGAAAACACCAGTGAATAGCTTGTTTAATATTCAGAGTATTGACAACGATTGGGTCATTTGAGCCGTTTGGGTCATTTGAGGCAGTTGAGCTTAAGCCTCTGAGCTTGACATAAACATCCGATGAAAAAGTCCTCGAGGCTAGGGAAAAATAGGGCCATTGTCCTAAATAAGGTTCAAACAATAACGATGGGCCAAATTTGACATGAAATAATTTTTAGAGGTGTAAACTCTTTCGGATAGATAATGATTTTTTTGACTCGCTCGTTTTTCTCGTGCAGCGGAGACATCGAGTATTAGGACGATTATACTTTCCTTCAGTCTGTTATAAGCGGGAAGGTCAAAACGAACTTGGTTTTTCAGAGTCCGTTCACTTTTTGCAGAGCCTCACTGGTTACATCTGATACCAAAAGGTGACATAATTAACCATTTCTTATCTCCTTTTTCGTGTTTACCAAAACTTGGGATTCAAATCACAACGGCTTCTGATATTGCGTGATGACGTGATTTCGCACAACTCACTTCAAATCACATTCGATCGTTCAATCCGGGCAAAATTGCATAACTGATCGAAAAAAATGTAAGGTGAAAAAAGGGAAACAATTGGTTCTTATGAGAAGCCTTTCAATGGTTAATTTTATCGAAGTTAATTTCTCTCAGAAATGAAAGTCTAGAGGAAGTCTGAAATCTTTAATTAAGCGGTACAGGCGTTAGGCATAATGATATCAAATGCATTTCTAAAATTTTGAATCGAAGAGGAATAAAATTTGTTTCAAATTTAGGAAAATTTGTATTCCATTACTAAGATATTTTGAATGAAAACTTAAATTCTTGTATCTCTTCTTTAGAAATAAATTAAATGAATTGCATGCTCTTTTTGAGTGAAAATGAATGAGTTGCCAGTATTCGGATCCTTGTGTTTGCGCAAAGATTTTTAGGATGGCCATTGGGCAAGCATTGCAAGTTGCTAGAAGGAAATACATGGCGAAAGGTTGTTTCGACGTTCGAAAACGATTTTAGAGAGAGATCAACGCTTTTTTTTATCGCACTTTTATCATAAGTGGATGAAGATGATGTTTATACGAGGGAAGTGTAAGATTTTTTTTCAGAATTACAGTGAAATATATTATAAAATATATCAATAAACCGAGATCATTACACGTTGTCAATTTCACAATAACTATTGCGCATGGAGAAAAGTTAGTAGATTTTACCACATAGATCATGGTTGTTCAAACAAAAACTTACGCTTCCTTGTATATGCATGCATTTTTTTCTAGCGAGTTGCAATGTTTGCCCCGTGGCGATCCCAAAACTTTTGCCGCAAACACAAGGATCCGATTCCTGGCAACTAATTCATTAGATATCTCTTCATTTGTGCTAAATTAAATGAACTTCCCAGAGGGAGTGTTTGATAATTTTCTTTCTTTTAGCGTTGTCTGCGTCCGTTGACAAACTGATAACTGATGTAGGCAAGATAAAATCCTTGGAAGAGAAAATAACCAGCCTTCAGCGAGATTCGGTGAGGAGCATTTAATTCATGTTTCAGAAATAGATTGCATTAAGCTCTACTGTAGCGTTTGTGGATTCTCGCGCTTCGGTTGTTGAGATAGCACCTCTTTGGTTTTCAATCTTTTGTTAATTTGTTGTCGGCGCTGTTTCACTCTGATCTAATTTTTTTAAACCTCATTCTTTTCAAAAATTGATGCGCGCGATTCGAGATTATATCCAATTCGGCGAACGATTGACAGTTAGATCCTTCTTCAGAGTGTTTTTATGCATTTGTTGACATTAGATTCCCATATGTTCTAACGTTAAATGGGTATTACATAATCGCTAATTCTTAAAAGATGAAACAATTAGTTTGTCTTTCCCCTGCATAGACTGATTCAGGAGTCAGCTCTCTACGAAAAGACTTGGACCAATCAAAGTTCCAACTCATGACGTCTGACAATGACACAAGACAGACACTAAAAGCCGTCAACACATCCTTTGCGTTTGAGGTGCAATTTTTTTTTTTAATCTCGGTGTTGGTTAAAAATCTAAGAATTCATCGCGAGATAATTAATAAAAAGAAGTACGTGACGTCCAACCGGCAAATAGAGCAAACAACAATCGAACAACCAAAGTAAGTTACCAATCAGCCGATCAAAGTAAGAATACAATTTCCAACAGAATCTCTTCTCATAGACTGTACAGTCTTCTTATTCTTTCAGCTGGAAAAGCTCGGCACGTTTCTGTATCAGCTAAATTCTACACTGAATCGAACTAACTCTGACGTCATGGAGCTGAAGGAGACTTTGAGAAAGGTTTGTCATAATGTCAAAATACAACAATGCAATAAACTTGTTGTAACCGCCGCCTGGCCAGTATTGTAAAGTGCCGGGCTGAGCTGCCGTGCGGAAGGTCGAAGGTTGAAGCCCCAGACTGGAACAACACCCAGCATCTTAAATTTAGCTGAGGAGAATGTGCTTCCTTTGAAATGACATTTAGACTTGCTAGTCTTCTCGGATAAGAATGAAAATCCGTAGGTCTCGTCTCCTGCATCTTCCCTGTACTGGTCAGCAAGGAGTAGGGGATGTAGCTCCCCGATTTGTGGTCTTGCATTAATTCTAAAAATGGGGGCATCTGCCCAAATTTCCTTCAAAAATTTTAATCTACTCAATTCAGTCTAGCCAGAGTCCCTCGCAACGTGTTGTAAAGCGCCATGACTCGCCAATGAATATGGCGCTGAAGAAATCTGTCATTATTCATAATTGTTATTAGGAGCTCTCTATAGCAACTTTTCCTCATTTTTTCAAGTTTCCCTGCTATTCCAACCCATGCAAGAATGGAGCGACCTGCTATCCAGGAAACAAGAAGGGCAAATTCATATGTGCTTGTGCTCCAGGTTTCGTTGGAGAACTTTGTGAGAAAGGTAAGATTAATTCTACAACAAACTGCTCAATTACTTTTTCTGGCTTAAAGATGTGCGTAAGGTAAACTAGGCAAACTAGTTATTCATAAAAATGTAGTGTAATATGATGGTAGCAATTTTCAAAGGTATGATTGCAAAGCTATAACTTTCTTCAGTTGATAATAGAATCATGAGAACGACAGTTTCTTACGCTTTTTCGCTTCCTATATGAAGTCAGCCAACTTTATGCACGTGTTAATTATTAACTGGTACACATGTGAATATCCATGGGCACCTCCGCCCTCTGGCTGCTAGCAAATGTTTATCTAGATAAGCATTACTAAAGCAGTTTCTAGACAACCATTTCCGGCCATCCTTAAATAAGTAAGGCTATCTCTCAAATCTTAAAGTATACGCATCATTATGCATCTTAAGCTTCGAGTCTAATAAATCTTTCTGGTATGTTCACTTTGCCTGAGCTGCTGAGAGCTGCAAGGAGATCAACGATGACAGTGATGATAAGGGCATGTAAGTAGTGTTCAATGCAATTCGTACGAGTTTAAATTCTCCACAATATACCTCTGAGAGCAATATCTTTTCAAAGCAAAATTCGTCTTTTTCTAGCTCTGTCAGTAACCAATCCTTCCCTCTGAAGCTTGGATCAGATATAATTTCAGTCTATTGTCACGTGACGAGTCTTGGTCCGTGTGGAGACGGTGGTTGGACGCTGGTTATGAAGATCAATGGATCTAAGGTGCACAAAATTTATTCAAGTTTTCACTAATAAATTGAACAGAGGCCAAAACGAATCAATAAATAAGCAAAAAGAAAAAGGGAACCCGGAAGAAAACTATTACAGGAATTTACTACGCAATGGAATGTTTTCAGTTGTTTTTTTCCTCGGCTAAGGTTTACACTTTTTATGTATTTGTATTGATCAATTTAAAAGAAAGCCGCTTGTGAATAGTTTGATAAATATATACGAGATTTAAGTCACTCTTTTGGCAATTTTGGGTTTCAAGTTAGAATAACAATCGTTTTAGATTTTATTCTCGCCATTAACAAATAAGAAGCTTCTGAGATGTCTCTGCACCCTACACAAATGGTTATCACAGATGTTGCATCTTCTAGATCATCTTGCTAGAAACTCAAGTGTCTAACGGGTGATTTATAAATTTCATCGGCGCACAATGATTTATTTTCTCGGAGGTTCGCCTACAGACGATATAGTATCTGATTACCAGAATAAATTTGTACTCAGTTTTTGAGCAATGAACAAAAATTGTTTTGAATTAATGGAACTCACGAACGTATGAAAAAAAATGAAAATATTGATAATTGACATTGGGTAATCTCTTATCGCAAAGTCTAGTTGTTAACTGATAATTCTATCCTCATTCTGTAGAACACCTTCCATTATGACTCTGAGATCTGGAGCAATGAGACCGGATTGAACATTCATGGGGGGATGACAGGGTTTGATGAGCAAGAGACTAAGCTACCGACTTACTGGAAGACAAACTTTACCAAGATCTGCCTTGGTATGAAAAATGGCGAAGAATTAAAATTTATCTTGATTAACAAGACGGCTGAATCTTTGCACTCATTAATTGGTGACGGGGAATATCGTAATACGTCGCTTGGTCGTGATGCATGGAAGTCGCTTCTTGGTTCCAACGGCTCCTTACAACTGAATTGCAATAAAGAAGGGTTTAATGCACGCACACCGTCTGCTGTGCGCCCAAGGGCAAGAATTGGCATCCTTGGTAACGACCAAAATGACTGCAATAGCTGTGATTCAAGAATCGGTTTTGGTACTGCCCCGGGTTCCAACACCTGTGGAAATGTGGCAGCATTGCAAGCAGACAATGGTGACAAAAATGTCATAGCCATGGGATATATATTTGTTCAGTAACTATACATGAGTTCTCGTTAGCGTCAATTTTTTTTCATGACGGTTTGCACCCATTTGTTGTTTTTGCCGATTCAAAACGTTTCTTAAGCTCCAGAGAGTGGTATTCTTCTGAGCAAAAGGTGACCCATACTTCTTGTTGATGTCCTCGCATAAAGCTAAGTTAAGGTTGCACGTTGTCCGTACATTCATAGCTGAAATTCTTTCTCTCGGTGCAATCAATAATGTAAACCTGCATAGTCTTGTAGAACTAAGATGAATTTGTTGCAGCTAACTTAATCGATCTGAGGCTACTCTTTGGTTAGGTCGATCAAAAAGAGATAAATTATACATTTGTGACGAGCGTGAACCCTCATTAGGATTCGAAGTATGATTGTCTACTATCAAACGGTGAGCGAAGCCACAAACTAGATACCCTATGTTCAAACGTTTACAGGTTCAAAGATTCATACCCTATGTACAAGGTTCATGAGTCGTGAAAAAAAAATTATCTTAGTGGACGCTAAAAACGAGACATAGAGCAACACCTTGCAATTTTACTTGTAGAAGATATCGCCTCTAGAACGGATGGGTTAGACAAATTCACGTGCCCGTTAGACTATTTTTTTAAGTGTCATGGTTGTGAAGGAAAAACTTTAAATTTCACGTCACTTGCCTTTCTGTAAATTCAATTGTCACGTAGTCACGTAGAAATGTTTAGCTTAATCTCGCCTCACGCATTGACTCTTTGCCTCCCTGTGAACTTTATTAAAACTGTCAGGAAACAATCAGAATACAAATTGTGTACGAGTTGAGTTGTAATTACCTTACATCATACAAAACAGCACGTGACCAAACGACTGACATCATCGATTTTACCGCCAAGCGGTTTTTTTCTTGATAATTACGATAGGGGAACACAGCGATTTGACACCTAAAGAGTGTCAAACTTCATTAACTCGGCGTACAAACTTACAATTGAGGTCCCATCGGGGCCAACATCCTTCCAATGCTCTCACACTCCAACTTTGACTTCACCGTCCCAAATTGTGAGATGAACAGAATGAATGGATCTCTACAGCAAAACAGTTGTTTTCTGTCATGAATGTTTCATGATAATACTTGATTCACAAGTCTTTACGTAGAAATTTTACTAATTCTATGTAAAACACAGCTATTAATTCCATTGTTTAAACTAGTTTTCCGCTGAAAGGCTTTTAAATCATGTGCAATTTTGATTAGAAAAACATATTTTGAGACAATAGCGCACCGAATTTAATAAAGCAAGCTAATGGTTAATTTAAGCTATTGGCGCTTGGATCGCCTTCAGTCGAGTCTTAAGAATCACCCAATCCTGAAACTTTGACATAAGAGGGCTTCAAAACACGTCCTCATATCAAATCAAAATTTGACAACTCAAAGTTGTTCATTTGCTCACTGTATGATGATTTAGTGACAGTCGATGTATTGACAAATGCCTTTCAAAAGCACTTCAAAATCGCCCGATCTTGCCCTGTTTATTTTGACATTCGAAAAGGCTTCAAAACAAGCCCTCTTATCAAATCGAAAAGTGACGTTTTAGAGGGCTTAAAAAAGTACAAGTAATGCACACGTGCATAAAACTGAAGTCAAGACAATATTCTAAACGAAAAGCAAAACCAAAAATTTAATCGCGTCCGATGAATGGAATGTTTAAAGACAAGAACAAAAGAGTGAATCCTTCAACACACTGTTGTTCTCTTTTTTTTTTCAATCACGAAAAAAAAAAAACAGGTCTTCTCGTGATGAATTTGCAACGACTAAAATCGGGTGGGCAAACGAAAAAAAAAAAATTCATTCAAAAATTAGTAATTTCTTCAATCACATCCGATAAATGGATTGATTAGAGATAATAACAAAAGAGTTAATCCATCATTACACTGTTGATTGTTTTTTTTTTTTAAGCCGAACTGACGACGTCTTTCTGAGAACCCATTAATCAAATTTAAAATTTTTGCGAAATCTTGAAACCAACCGTCTAAAAAAAGGCTGAAATAGAGTTCGTTGACCGAACATCACAACAAGCCTAGTCAGATCGAAGGATGACCAAATTTAACAGCAAGTTCAGGTTGATTGCTCTGGCGATATTATCAATTTAGCTTGTTAACCGGACGAATTTAATCCGAAGGCTGTCACGCCTCGCTTGCGCTCAGCTGTGATTTAACTTAGAGGTGTGATATGCAAAATAACACCTATTCAAGGTGTGATCTGATTTCACCTTTCGGTTTGGCTGAGAGTGACTTGCACTTTATCGCAATGCCTACTTCATCTCGAAAAATCGTTATAAACAAAGGTTATGTCGGAGACGATTCTGCCACGAATGAGTCGCTGGGACTAAAACAAATTAGTTTAAAAGAGGCCAATTTTGGAGCAGCAAGTGATCCAGGGAGCGCACTTTACGAAACACATAAGGAGAAACCACACCCGGCAAGGCGATCGAACGGGAGATATTTGTCCTTGTTCTTTTTGGCGTGTTTACTTTCCATCGTCGCCATTATTCTGAGTTTGCTGTCGCTGTGGGGGAATTTCGGTGAAAAATGTGATTGCTCCAAAACTGAAGGTTAGCAAGTAGACATATGTTATTATAATAATTTGAAAGCGAAGCAACAAAATGGCCGCACTAAAACATCCAAAATTTGGTTTTATTCCTTTTCTCATGCTTGACCTTAAAAGCAACTAAGTGCATCAGAGTTTTTTTGTTAGTCATAAAACACATTTCAATGGTCTGACAATCGTCTGTCACGCAGTCTGCAAACTAGTTCTAAAATTATAAGTTAAAAGACTACAAAATGAAATGGTAGAGGGATAAGAAATCCTTCATTCAATGGTTTAACATTTAATCGTCGCTGTTGTATTTCATCATCCTTACAGGGCTCGGAAAAATACTGCGGAACTCGCAAAATATCCGCAAGTAATATCTCTTTTCCTCTATGAAAACTGATGATTCGTTTTTAAACTCTTCGCACCGGGTGGCCTGACAATAGACAATAAATATATAACAATGCTGATAATAATGATAATACTAGTAATAATAATTTTGGATAAATGCTGTAACTTTTGAATCGAGGAGGAATCGATTTTGATTCAAATTTAGGCGAATTCATTTTTCCTGACGAAGATATTTTTGATTGGCAATTTCATAGCTCTTCTTTCATTCGACTTCAAACGAATTGCCTGAAAGGAATCTTTTATTTTTTTCAGCACTCACTACGTCCGTTGAAAAGCTGTCTGCTGATGTAATCAAGATTAGTTCCTTGGAAGAGAACATGACGCGCCTTCAGCGAGATTTGGTGAGAGGCATTGAACAAAAATTTTAAAAAGTGATTTGCGATGAAAAATTAGCCTTAGGTCTTCACTAGCTCTCGAGTTTCCCCTGGGGATGCGGGGCCTTTTTGTTTTTAAATTCTTTGTTAATAGTTGGACGGCATTGTCTCTCCAAGACAATCTTTTGTTTTTTAAAAAATCCCGCTCAAAATTGTTTGGCCGCAATAGAGCCTGAATCTGGCAATAGAATGAAAAAAAGTTCACATTTAGACAAATTGATTCATCTCACCTCTATCCATTCCAAATTACGGAGCGCCATTTTTTCCATGCGGCAAAAAAACAGCGGTCCGTACTTTACAGTGCGGACCTCAAACTCGGTTAATAAGAAGTACTTAAACGACGAATGCGTTGCAAACTGCCAAGTTCATGAAAGTTGTTATTGTAAATTTCGCTGTGTGTTTTTAGATAGAGAAAGAGGCCGAGTTAAACAGTACCCGTTTATCCTTGGATTACCTTCAAGAAGAACACAACAACTTAAGTGAAAAGGTAGGGGAACTTATTCACACACAAAAAAGATGAAACGATTCAAATGCTTAGGCAACCATACGTTCCACTCGCAGGTGAGCTGCAAGATTACACTTACCTCAATTTGTCTTGAATTTACACAGCTTATCATTTTTTAACAGGAGTTTACATTATCTTGCATGCCATATGAACTTGTAAAATCTTTACAGAAATTTAAAGATTTGAAAGTCAACAGTTTTAGAAGTGTCAACAATTTTAAGATGTGAGATGATTTGAAACATACATGCAATGGTAAAAAATTACCATTTAATAATCATATATAATGATAAATGTAAGAAACATGATTATTTTATGGAAATGGCTTCTTCATCACTCATTAGAAATTTTTCTTGTAAAGAAGAGCATTTTGTTGTTTCCTTGACCACACTCACGGTAATTTGTTCAAAGCCTGAAACACTAGACCGAAAACCATGAAAAATGTTCGAAATTTTTTTTCTCAGTTGTAGAAAGATAGAATTTTCGTAAGGTCTAAAAGGAAAAGAACAGTATGAAAGAGAGGATGAATTGAATTTACTTTTTTCCAAATTAAGTCTACTGTTAATGAAATATTCACAAAAATGAAGAGCAATTTGAGTTGAATCGGAATTGGTGAATCACAAATGATGACTCCATACGTATGGGGAATCCATAGTTATTCAGATTAATGCACGAGTCTTCTTCCCTCAGACCAGGGCATGGTTAGACACCATACGAAATGATGCGAACAGCACAAGGATTCAACTAATGGCTTCTGATGCAGATGCAAAAGTAGCCTTGGACGCAGTTAACACAACTAAGACACTAAAGGTCAGTATTCTAAGATTTATTTCACTTCTTTACTCGTGTGATATAGGTTGGTTTGTCTAAGCTGTTGATTTAATATATAGTTTTTGGAAACTCATGATCTGAATGCTAGGGCAGTATGTGTCATTGCCGGAAGAAGAAGATAAATCGCTCATCTTTGCTTTTCCCTTTTGACTTCTTAAATTTTTAGAAAAATTAATTTACTGCGATTGTCTGCGTCACGGACCCTAAAATAATGTGCTGTGCAACTTTGAAAATGAAACTGGGATTTGAAGCTTTCTGCTAAAGGAAATTAAAAAGTTTCCCTTCGGATTTGGCCGACATGTTGATTTTCTTAAGGTTTCCTATTTTGTCTGAAAGTGTCCCGTGGACTGGTAACGAATAAGCGAGTGATGAAGTAGAAAACTGTGAAAACCGTCTCTTGACACTTACGAATCTCTCACGTCTCTCGTAATTTTGTATCATTCGGCGTTGAAATACTCTTGAAATAAAAGCTATGTATACCTACCTTCAGCAAGCTCTACCGAGAAATGTGATTCATCTTACTCAAGTAAAGTAAAGAAGAGGTAAAGAAGAAATGGAAGTTGCGAGTACGATTCAGTCCTACGAAAGAGAACCACGTGCATCAAAAAACAAAAAACTCCCTTTGCTGAATACTTAGTTTGTGTTTTGTTTTCTATGGCGAAATCTTTCTTAAGAATAAATGCTGTGTTCGTTTCTGTGGCCAGAACATTTTATTTCTTTGCACTAAGTGCGGCGAAGGTTCCCCTCGGTTAGTTCCCTTGAGTTTCGTCCCTGTGGAGTAATCCCCTCAGCAAACAAAAAGCGAAATTTTCACGAAAGAATCAGCTGTATTGCGAGGCGCGATGATTTTTTGCTGAAAAGTCGTCGGGCAGGCAACTGCAAGTTGCTCCTTTCCTCAGAAATTGCAAAGACAGAGGCTTTCAGCTATCATAGGCTATAGGTGTGCATGTATATAAAATCATCAATCCCTTTTACTGTTCTGGAGGATCCCGAGGACGAAAAATGTTCTTTTGAGGTATTGTGGATTAAAATGCGCCCGACTCGTCTCCCAAGGGGCATCTCAAGTATTATTGCTGGTGTTGTTTATCATCCACCAAAAGCAACAAATTCTATGATGTTGGACTATTTGACTAAGTGTTTAATGGACTTGGAGTCTAAATACTAAAATTGCGGTTTTCTAGTACTCGGTGACCTTAACCATCTGAACGATCCAAGGCTCAAATCAAACTTCAAACTGAAGCAGATTGTGCATTTTCCTACTCGTGGGCAAAACACTCTCGACAAGATTCTTACCAACCTCCAGGATTACTACGACACCCCGGTTGAACGTCCCGCTTTTGGTCTTTCAGATCATAGCTCAGTTGAAGTACAGCCAAAGCAAAGGGTTAAAACATCGCAAACAATACAAACTGTTATTTCAAGGGACTTACGACCAAGTAATCGTGTTGCAATGCAAACGTATTTATATGAAGTCGATGTTACTGCGGCGATGATCGGAGCTATGACCACTTGCGAAGGAAAGGTGTCGATGTTACAAACGATCATCAAAACTGGCCTTGATTCTATCTTACCCGCCGATGAAGCCCAAAATTTTCCACCGAACAGAACCACCATGGATAAATTTAGATTCGAAAGCGACAAGTGGCCTTAAACCGAGGAGACTGAGCGGAGTTTAACCATCTGAGAAATCTTGTTAACCGAGAACGTAAAGATGTCGTACGAAGTATTACGAGTGTAAAGTGCAACATCTAAAGGGATGTTCCCCAGCTAAGTGGTGGGGCGAAATCAAGAAACTTAGTGGAATGGAGGGGTCACGTGATAATGTCCTAAAGTCCGTTCATCACTTAGAAGGTGCTCGTGGTCTATCAGCAGCTGACCTTGCAAGCCACATCAACACCGCTTTCTTGGCCCCAATGGAGGTTTTTGAACCGCTTACCCACAATCTATTTAGGGGAGACAATTTTGTGTCTTCGAGCAGAACTATGAATGATGATTTCTCACCAATATCAGCGTTTTCTATCTTTAGAAAGTTATGCTCTATTAATCCAGCTAAGGCACAAGGACCGGACGGTATCCCCGGATGGCTCTTAAAGGAGAATGCGGATCTTTTGGCGCCATCCATCATGGATATCATGAATGCCTCCCTTCGTGAAGGCCGTTTGCCCTTATCTTGGAAAGAGGCAGATATCGTCCCTGTCCCCAAGCAAAGACCTATCCAAGACATCAATAAGCACCTTCGCCCTATCTCCCTTACGCCCATCCTTTCCAAGATTGCAGAAGATTACATTGTTCATGAATTTGTGATACCTGCCGTGTTAAAGAAAATCGACAAAAGACAATATAGGACAATACCTAAATCATGCACTACGCACGCACTTGTTAGCATGATCCATAACTGGCACGTCAGCTCCGATGGGAATTCGGCCGTGATTAGGGTGGTTCTATTTGATTTCCGTAAAGCGTTCGATCTTATTGATCTCAACATCTTAGTGCGTAAACTCTTAGATTACGATATTCCGAACCACATATTATGCTGGATTGTTGACTTTTTATCGGATAGAAGACAGAGAGTTAAACTGGCCGAGGATTGCTTCTCCGAATGGCGTTACATTCGTTACAAATATGTTGATGATACCACAATTTCAGAGGTTAAAGGCCAAGAGAACTGTATTCAGCAAATGGTAGACGATCTCGCAATACAAGCAAGGGAAGATGGTTTTCAGTTAAACGAAAGGAAATGTAAAGAGCTTAGGATTAGCTTCGCAAAAAACGAACCAGAATTTGATCCTATCTGGGTTAACCGTCAGACCCTTGAGACCGTGAAAAGTATAAAATTATTAGGACTCAATAAAAGTAGTGATTTAAAATGGAATGCCCATGTGTTAGAGCTAGTTAGGAAGGTTTCTACAAGGCTATATTTTCTAAGACAGTTGAAGAGATCGCATGTCGCCACAAAAGAGCTTCTTCTATTTTACATTACATGCATTCGGTTATTCCAAGTTATTTAAGCGAAGACCTAGAAAGACTTCAAAAACGTGCTATGAAGATTATTTATCCCGAGCTTTCGTATACCAAGGCTCTGGAAATATCTGGACTTTTAACGCTGTATGATAGAAGAGAGGCAATCGCAGCAAAGTTGTTCAATGAAATATATGCAAATCAATCTCACAGTCTTCATAAACTATTTCCAAGCAAATACCAACCCGGCTACTATCTGAGAGAACAAAGAACATTTATTCGTCCGAGTTGTAAAACTGAAAGATGCAAGAATAGCTTTCTCTTAAGTTACGTTTATCGTAGGTGATAGTTAGATATTAACTTGTCTCTTATTTTACATAGGAATTCGACGCATGCTTGTAATTTTGTCATTCTGTAACAGTTTTTAATTAGGAAATTAATTAATTAGTTGTAATTTAGTAAGCTGGAAATTTCGCGTTTGTAAACCTTATCTATCTATCTATCGTCGTCGAGCCGATCAAACGAAAAATGTGTGAGTTTAAAGTTATCTGATCTCGAATTAGGACTTAAATGTCTGACCGCTTCAAGAGTTTTATTGATTTTGATTTGTTGATGCCAAGTGACCGTGTGGTCCTAGGTTGGGCTCAGTTTGCAAATGAGGCAGGGTTACCAGTCTGGATTCATTGGTCGTGTGTCGTGGTGAATGTGTACACGGTTCGCAAGAAACGTGGAAAATGGAAATTTTGAAAGCAAACTGCCGTTTTGCGTCGGTCTCACGGGAAGGATTGAGCTGGTAGGGAATTGAAATGAAACTACAGTATATGTACTTGGGTTCTGCGTTCAATTTGTGGCCGCTCGGACATTTTTCGCTTTTCGGATCGGGCGTTTGGAAATGGAGTGTGCAGCCTTGTTATCTTATCTTAGGAGTAGGAAACCAAGAAATGGTTAACTCGCTAAAATGGCCCCGTTTCAGCAAAGTAATCGGTCAGACAACAAGCAGTGCACTGTGGAAGTAAGGTGAAGTATTTTTATCGAGAATTTGACTGTGTTTTTTTATTTCCAAGAGCGGGTGTATATATTTCCATACAAGCTCTTATAATTTCACCATGACGCATATTACGCAAGACGATCGTCTTTGACAAAGAATTTTAAATTGAAATTTGGAAGAACCTTTCTAAGGCCACTCTTCTGTGCCACTGAGCACAATGAGGTTGAGTGAAAAATGCTTCGTACGTAACAACGGATAATTTCTGTTATTAACAAGGCTTAGATGCCGATTGTGTTTCAGTTTCCGTTGTTTTTAGCACAGTAATGCAACCAAACGTTATTTAATTTCTTCCGAAGTTAAAATGAAAATTAAACGCAAGATTAGTTTTAACACCAGTGATCCCTACCTATATTAAAAGTCGAGCCTGTTGTTGGTTTGAACTATACAACCGATAATGAACTTTCCTAAAAAGAATATACATATATATACATTGACAACAAATCCATGAGTAGAACCTTGTCGCTCTAACTCAACCCCTCAGTTACCCTTCCAGCTTTTAATTGGTATAATTTTTAATGGCCTATTTCAAGATTGGATTCGGTTCGATTATCTTTGAGAGAATCATTTACAGTAAGCTTGGAATAAGAATCGCAGAAAGAAAACTTGTCACCTCTCCGTGTGCAAGATAAAGCACTTCCTCATTAGTGATGGTATCTTGGTTGGCGAATCTGTTCCCTTTTTAGACGCAAAAAACGTGAATATAGCAACACCTACATCTTGGAATGAATAAATTTGGGAGACGTTAGCAAACAGTGGTTGCAAAACAAAAAATCCCCCATCTGGGCCCAGTTGTAGAAAGGGCCGGGTGGATAACTCTATCCAACGGATAAATCGCTATCCAGCGGCTAAGTGATAGCAAAACGTACTGTGTTATCCACCGGATAGAGATTTATCCTGTGGATAGTGTTATTGGACCTTCGAAAAACCGGAGCCTGTTGTTTACGCTTTAACCATGAGAATTTTATTTAACCACGTGGCAAATCCAAACGCAATACAAAACTAACGATACATTTTATCAGAAACTAAAATACTCGCTATAATATTAGCGGAGCTCGCATTCTTATAAGTAACAGTAGTGACCCAGTAACCTATCAAGGCAGAAAACATTGGACTTACGATCGTACTACCGACCTCACAAGGTGCTACCTTTAGCATGCGCAGCCAACTGCATTGCGGGAATTAGTTAAGCCATTATGTAATCCGAGGAGTGAGGGAAAGGTAGGCGTCAGGAAACACCGGCAGATGATAATGAAGTGCGCATACTCGAGTGCCGAACTTTAGTGTAGTGTACCGCGGGCACACGGTTAGGCATCACACGAGAGCCTTGAGTGGGCTAGAAGATGTGAGGCCGCGCAGGCCAAGGATTTGCAACCCGTGTTTTTAGCGGGAAGTCAAACTGGTGAGGTTGTAGTTGAACAGTAATTCTCATTAAATGACTGTGAATATATGAAAATCATATATGTGAACTCCGGATAAAGACGCGAATAAGAAAGCGATCTTCGCAGTAACGAACACTACTTGAGCAGTAGTGAAAATAAGGCCTGAAAAAAATTCAGGCCTGTAAGGGATTTGAACCCATGACCTCTGCGATACCGGTGCAGTGCTCTACCAACTGAGCTAACAAGCCAACTGGGAGCTGGTCAGTATGTTGGTTCCATATAAACCCGTGAAGTGATGAATAAATGACCGTGAATATATGAAAATCATACGTGTAAAGTGCGGATAAAGACGTCGATCGAAACAATAGCCTCTTGATCGATTTCTTTTGAGGGGACCCGTGGTTCTAAAACAATTTATTGACGATAACTGACGGTATGGTCCCCGGCAAAGCTCAGTTTGAAAAGGAGGTAGGGTTACCGAGCTGGTTTTCAACGGTCGTGTGTCAAGGTTGATGTGGCCGCGGGCTGTTAGAAACCTCTAAACTGGAAATTTTTGAAGCAAACTGCGACTTAGTGTCGGTTGCACGGGGAAGATTGAGTTTTTAGTGAATTGGAATGAAACTACAGTATATGTGCTTGGATTCTGCGTTGGATTTGTGGGCACCCGGTCATTTTGAGCTTGGATTTTTCGCTTCTCGGATCAGGCGTTCGGAAATGGAGTGTTCAGCCTTGGGCTTTTCTTATGAACGTTGAAAACCTCGAAATGGACAACTCGCTAATATGCGTCCTTTTCATCAAAGTAAGCGGTCATATAACAAGCGATACGCTGTGAAAGTAAGGTGAGGTATTTTTTTTGAGAATTTGACGTATTATTTTATACCTTAGAGCGGTCGTAAATATTCCCATACAAACTCTTATAATTCCGCCATGACTGTTATTGCGCAAGATGATCATCTCACAGCTGGAGCTTGGGCCGCCTGTGATCCAAACTAAAAATCGATGTAAGGAATTGGTCGCACGATTTGTGAGTTTTAAAGTGTGGGAATCTGGAAAAGCAAGGATCCTCCATTAATTAGGACTGGAATTAATTGGGATGCTTCTATTTAAATTCCTGGTTTTACTTTGACCTGCCTTCTCCCCTTTAGCGTTTAGAGTACGAAGATGAATAGAACATTCTTTTGTATTTTGACGCGTAGAAGTAAAATTGATTGTTAGTACGTTAACTTTAGAGGTTAAAAATTAAATTAAGAGAGTCACCTTGACCATATCCTACTTTTTATCCTCCTTTGGAAATTTGTTCAAATAACATGGCCACTGTCAGTCTCATCCACTCTCAATGTCCACTGAGCTCATGGAAAAATGATAACCTCCCTACATATTTAAATAAAGAAAGGAAAGCCTTCCCTCTTACCATGGATAGTTCTTTTGTGCATGAGCAAATTACTATTTTTAATTACTCTCTTACTGGCAGACCCAGGGCTGTGGTTTGCTACCAATTCTCGACCATTACTTTCTTTTAATAAGAAGGTTATTTTTCCCATTATCGGTACAAACCTGCTCTAATGTGAACATGAGGGTTATCATTCCAAGTAGGCTAACTTTGATAATTAGTTGTCAAAATATATTGATCCTGTCATCACATGCAAAATTGACCCACTTTACCTGACTAACTAAACCAATTAAAGAGAACCTTGAAACATATATGTTCTCCTTTTGAGGTGTGCATCAAAGTTTTGAAGTTATGGCAGGCTTGAACTACAGGTTTATAGGTAATCTGCATGCGTGTGCATGTTATCAATATTAAAACCGGGATTGTGGCTACTTCGAATAACTTTACTACAAGCCGAACAGCTACAGGGAGGGGTTGTAAAGAATTTCTCTTCGTTTGTTCATTAGTAAACGTTTATTTTTCTAAGAATCTTGTTTATTCGGCCAACACCGAATTCAAATTCTTTCAACAAAATGTTATACTCTTTTGAAAATTCTTTGATCTCCTAGTATCTGTTACTATCAATGTTATTAAAATTACAGATTTAAAAAGGTGTCGAAAATGTGAAGATGACTTTTCCTTTCAATTTTCTACGCCTATCAGAGGACGCTGAAACATTATGGAAAAACGGTGGAGCAAGTCGTCATACCTGGCGACTTCAAGAGTAGCTCTGTAAGAAAAGCCCATACTATTCTGGCTTATTATTATTGACTCACTGTTCTTACGTGTATAATCTTCAATCGACCGTTGAATTCTTAACTCGAATTCGTTTGCCGTTGTTAATCTTTCCATTTTGGCTCATTTTCCCAAATCGAAATCATCAGTCAAACTCAATAGAATACAATTCCAACTGATAGTGACATTATACACTACATCTGATGAAGAAAGCATTCCCTATCTTCGAAAAGTCGCTGAAAACACCAGGAACGCCATCGAAGGTCCTAAGCTACTTGATAATACCAGGGTAATTTAGTATTATCAACTGAGTTGATAATGTAAATTGGCCACCGTAAAAAGTTTAAAAGCTGACCTTTTGAGCTTTTGCCCTTCGTCTATGGCTCTGACGAAGAGTTAACGCTCGAAAAGTCAGCTTTTAAACTCTTTACGGTGTTCAATTTTCGTTATTAACTGAGT